CTCCCGCCTTGGTGAGCGGAGCGCCGCCCGCCCGGCCCTACGCTGCGGCAGCGAAGTGAGTGCGTCTCCTTCCATCCGAAGCAGCTCTCTTGGCCGTCGGGTGTCCTGGTGGTGGTAGGGGGGAGCGTGTGGTGTTTTCGGTGTCTGCAGTGTGGCTCTAACAGCCGGGCTGGCCTGGGGTGGCATCCCGCAAGCTGCTAGCTCCTAGAGAAACAGCCTGGAGAGAGAGAAGCCGTAAGCTGGGCTTGTGGGGAGTGTTTTCTGTTACTCTTGTAATAATGGATGTAACAGTTATGGGGAAAGATTTACCTGATATTTTTGATGTGTGCTTTTGGAGGGTATGGCTGGATTACAGCTTACGGAGTACTGTCAGCATGAGAGCTGGTGAGCTTATGGAATTGGTTTCAAACAGTTCCTCTTCTTGCTTCAGGTTGCTTTTTTTTTTTGTTGTTGTCCCTTTAAGTCTAATATTACGATGTAAGTGGGAGAAGTAAAAGTTACCTCTGTGTACAGAACAGTGAAGCGTGCTGTACACCAAGTGTTCCGAAGTGTTGCATACTCTTTCACCATAGTAATAGAGGAAAGGAATATCTAGCTATTACTTTAATTTTTTTTTCCTTGATTTGAGAGCCTTTGAATATAGGTAGGAGAATAAGGATTGGGGCTAGTGTTTGTTAACTGGATGCAAAATGATACAGGAAAGGGAGGAGAAGCCTTTTTTGAAAGGTGGGACTGCCATGATCCACTGTAAGAAGAAGAAGAGAACCTACCCTGCAGATGTGGCTCCTTCTGATTACTAGGAAGGTGTAGGGGACTTGCTCATTTTAGAAGCAGCTCAGGCACAGCGCCCGCGACCAGCCCATGTGAAGGCAGGACCTGGACCAGTTGGTGTGTTATCTTAAACTGGTCTTGTTTTGATACAGTAGGACAGTCATTAACTTGGTTTCATGCTGCACGAATGTGGCTATGTTGTTTGAGGAGCTTAATGGCCTTCAGAGCTGTTGATTTCTGTCTTGACTACCTGAGACAAGTAACTGGGATGAATTTAAGGATGCTGTTCATCTTTGCGTAGAACCTTCCTTGTTAACTAATCGTTACGTAATAAGTGACACATGACTATCTACTTTTTTGTCTCTGAACATGTGCCAAACTCTTCAGTTGATGATCTAACGATATTTTTTGTTTGTCTTAGAACTGCAAAAAAAGGCTCACAAAAGACCAAGCAGGAAGAAGCAAAAAAGAAACAAGTAACTAAGAGGCGGCTGCTGATGAGCAAGCCCGTGGATGATGTATACTTGACGTGGTATTATGAGCGGCCATCCTATGGTTTGGAAGAGGCTGTGGGTATGCTGAAGAAATTTCAGGAACTGGACTTCACTCACCCCAAACAATATGTCTATATTAATGTCTTCCTAGATATGGCACTACAGAAGAAGGTAGGTTGGAAGCGTATACAGATTTTGATAGCTTGTTTCTTTTTATGTGGGAAGGCTGCGTTTAAGTGCAGAGCAGATGCTGCTGTCGGCCTTCTCAGCTGCCTCTTGCAGCTTCTCTATCAGAATAATGTGTGCTTTCGCACGTGGCTTTGTGCCTTTATACATGTATAATTATTAAACATCCCTCATACTCCTGAGGTGAAGATGCACCATTGAGGATTTTGAAAACAGGCTATTGTGTGACTAAAATTCATGTGTGGACAGAATTGATCAAACTAAGCTTTATGTCTGTTCAGGCTTTCCACTTAAAGGTGTGTTACCAAAATCATGTGTGTGTTTTGTTCTGGGATGATGGTTACAGGGAGAAGTGTTAAGGCAAACTTCTGCCCTTCTCTGTCCTTCACCTTGTTTTGATTTCTCTTTTTTTTTTAAATAATGGTCCTTGAAAGTATGCTATTGGCCTGTGACTTTTTTAATTTAAAGGTGTTTAGCCCAGTTTAGT